GCTGGGGCTGTGCGTGTCGGTGGAGGGCGGTGTTGCGGCCAGCGACGGCTCCGTGGTGGCGTTTGTTGACAGCGACTTCCTGCTGTGCAAGCACGCGGTGTCTGTGCGTGGGGCTGTGAGTGTGTCGGGCTCCGCTGTGGCGTTTTTGCGGAGCGACTTTTCGTCGACGGAGGACTACGCGGTGGCGTTTTATTCGACTGTGAGCCTGGCTGGCGGGTCGATGCTGCTGGCGAAGGGCAACGTGCACGACGGCGTCTCGAGGGAGATGCTCTACGCCGCTGGCACCGTGACCGCTGCTGGGAGCACGCTGAGCTTTGTGCGCAACCGAGCGCTGCTGCCACGGATGCTGTCGCTGAGCCTGTCGCTTGCGGCTGGGGCGCATGTGAGGGTGGCGTGCAACGACGCTGGTGGCCGTGTCCTGTCGACGGCGGAGGAGTACGCAGCGGCTGGTTTTGTCGACGCTGGGCGCATCGACGTTGCTGGGTGCGACGCCTGCGACAGGGACACGCACTGCTACGCGCCCGGGACGGCGTCGGCGAGCATGAGGAATGGTGTGTGCGTGTGCGAGTGCGGCAGCGGCGGGTACGGCGAGGCGTGCGTGCCTGTGGGAGCTCCCGCACTGCCGCCCGCTGTGGGCACTGCGTCGAGTGTGTTCGTCCGCGAGGGCGTGACGGTGCGGTCTGTGTTCGTTGTGCCTGCCGGCGCGAGCGAGGTGACGCTGCGCCACGTTGTGCTGGACGGCGTGAGTCCGGTGCTCTACGTGCCGTGGATGGCGCGAGACGGCGTGCGGATCGTTGTGCAGAACGTGTCGCTGCGTAACGGCACCGTGCTGTACGTGATGGGCGGTGGAGCGTTGCGCGGTGCGGTGGCGGCGGGGAGCGACGAGAGCGGGCCGGTGGAACTGTCGGTGTGCGATGTGGAGGCGCTGAACGGTGCGCTTGTGCTGACCGGCACGTTTCCCGCGGGGTCCGTGCTGACGGTGACGGACTCCCTGCTGGTTGCCGCGAGGCCGACGCCGCTTGTGTATCTTCCCGGCTTGCAGTCCTCGCCGTACGCACCGGTGCTGGTGCTGTCGGGCCTGCGGCTCGTGCGGTCCGTGCTGGTTGTGTCCGGCGTTGCCCTCGTGACCGTGGTGACTGGTGGGCGGACGGTGACGGTGGACGGCGCCGTGCTGGAGCTTGTCGGTGGCGGTGTCGCGCTGGACGCGGCTGTGCTCGGTGGCGACGTTGCGTTGTACGCGAGTGCGCGCGTGGTTGCGTCTGGGGGCGCTGTGCTGCGCGTTTCGGGGAGCCAGGTGTACGCCGCGCATGGGCTGGTGTTTGGCAGCGGGGTGGAGGCTAACGCGTCCGCCGTCGTAGTGAACGACAACGCCGGTGTGCTGACCGATGGCGCGCTGCTGGAGCTGCGGGGGTCGGCGTCGTTTGTGTCCGGGTCGTGGCTGTCGGTGCGCGGCAACAGCATCAGCGGCAGACTTCTGTCTGTGCCGTCGTACCCGCGCCGTGCGGACCTCGTGCATAGCATTCTGACGCTCCATGGGAACGCCGGCAGCGGGCCCGTCGTGATGGACGGCACCGTTGCGCTCGGGGGAGCCGGCCGAAATTTCGTCGTGGGGTGCCTGACGCTCAACGGGCAGGCACTGCGGCCGATGGACTACAGGTCCGCCGGCATCATCGGGGAATTCCGTTCTGTGGCGTGTGGCGTGTGCGACGCCGACGTGCACTGCTTTGCAGCTGCGACGAGGGCGATGTCGGGATCGTGCGGCTGCCGCTGTGCTGACGGCGGGTACGGGCGCGACTGCCTGCCGGTGTACCTGCCGCACGTGGACGGGTGCAACCGCACGCTCTTTAGGCCGCCGCTGAGCCACACGGCGACGCTGACGGAGACGCGCAGCCTGAATTCAACGTGGACGGCGACACCAACGTGGACGCCGAGCGTGAGCACGACGCACTACAGTCCGACGCAGTACGGGCCGACGGAGACCCTGCGGGTGACGGAGACGGTGGCGCTGCCGCCCACGCGGAGTCCGACGGCGTCGGTGAGCAGCACGCTGTGGTGGAGCGACGTGGCGTGCCCGACACTCACCGTGACGACGACGGCGGCTGGAGGAGGCCTGACGCAGAACGACATCCGTGGCGGTGAGAGCGTTGTCCCGACGCTGCTGATGGTGGCGCTGCCGCCGCCGTTTCGTTGGGCACGCGACCCGCAGCTTGGCACGCACCTGAGCTTCGTGCCTGTCTCGACGGCGCAACCGCGCGGGTTTGGCGGTCCGTGGGGAGCGATGCTGAGCAACGCGACGTGGGTGCGCAATGCGACGAATCCGTCCACCGTTCTGGAGCTGGCTTTGCCCGTGCACCGCGGTTACTTCATTGCAGCCGACGAGACGCTAGTCATTCGGTGCGACGCTGTGGCGGTGTCCGGCGGCTGCAAGGGTGTGCTGCTTGGGTCCTTCACGATCAGGTCTGACACGCTGCCCGCCGCTGCCAGCGCCCTCTCGGCGATCACCGGCGTTGTTGCGGGTGCGGCGGCTGTTGCCGCGGTGTTGACCGGCGGGCTGGGCTCCATCCTTGAGATGCAGGCGCTCGGCGTGTTTGCGAGGATGTCATGCGCCTCGGCGCAGGAGCGTGCGAGCACCGTTGCGCTGCCGTACTTTCTGTCGGTGTTCGCTGCCCTTGACCCAGTGTGGATGGTGGTGGGCAACGCGCTGCTTGCCGCTGTGTTCGGGTGCGTGCACTGCGGTGTGACGGCGGCCTTCCAGCGGTGGCGCGGCGTGGACGCTGCGAGTGCGTGGGCTGCGATGCGCTTCCCGAGCCTGACGTACGTCGTGGCGCACGCGATGCATCTAGGCATTTTCTTCGGCTCCGTGTTCGCACTGGCGATGTCCGACGCCCGCGTGCAGCACCGCGTGATTGGTGTCGTTGGCGTGCTGTACGGTGTGGCCTTCCCTGCTGGCGTGTGCTACTTGATTGCTCGCGACGTGGGCGCGAGCTTCACGAGGTACTGGCAGTTTTTGAGGAAGCCGCTGCCCGAGCGCCTGCTGTACCCTGTCGGGTATTGGCACCCCGCGGCGCAGCAGCGGATGTACGGCGGCATGCTGACGAACATGAGGGGCAGCCACGTGTACTGGTGCGTGTTCCAGCTGTCGGTGCTGTGTGTGGTGGGCCTGATTGCGGCTGTGCACCCGCCCGTGGGAGGCTGCCACGTCCAGTACTTCTGCATGGCGGCTGTGCTGCTTGCGGGTTCGGGCGTGGTTGTCTTCACGAACATGATGCGCTCGTCCTTCCTGACGGTGATGCACACTGCGGGCTTTCTGCTCCTTGCGACGCTGTGCGTGATCAGCGCGGCCAACCACCTTGCGCCGAGCGACGGCGGTGCGAGGGCGTACGTGGCTATCGTGCTGCTGCTGACCACTGTGCTGCTTGCGGCCACAGTGTACGGCGTCGTTGTGTGGTACGCGGAGGACCACCACTGGCAGGAGCTGCGCGAGCCGCGGCGTGGAGGGCTGGAGGCGCTGCTGCGCAATGACGAGGAGAGCGACGAAGAAACGCAGAAGCTCCACGACACAACGTTATTGTCGTACGCCTCTGGCACCACCGTTGCGTCGTCGTACCGACCACCCGCAATGCCGTAGCAGTCTGTGACCGGTGACACCCGCTTAGACGCGCTGAGCCCGCTGGACCGTGCATCCAGTGCGAGCTGTATGATCGATTACGCTGCCATGTGACGTGTAACACGTAGAATTAGCAGACGTGCGGTGGTAGTTGATGGAAGGGGGCGCGAGGCCACGGCTGCTGCACACCACGGCCACTCATCACTCACGGCATCGACAGTATTGTTAATTGTTGTTTTTGCGACACGATTCTTTTTTGAGTGGGTGCTTCCAGGAGTTTTTCCCGTTCCACGCTGACTGTGTGGAAGGGGATTGAGTTGTCTCCCTTGTTACTTCTGATGTCATGTTGTACCGGACTGTAATTCCATGGAGTTGCGTGCGAGGAACCCAACGCTCGTTTTGTGCAATGGAAAAAGGATTCAGCGAACCGCCTAGCGGAAGTAATGAATTGCAGCTTTGCCTTACCGCGGATTTGCATGCAAGAGGCATTACAGTCCTCAGAAGCAAAGCGGCGACAGAGTAGTAGCAGGGCTCCAGGTTTCCAGGAACGCCTTTGAGCGGGTTGTGTATTGAGGCGCGACCTCTTTCTCTGATTTAGGCCTGTTCTGGTATGGCGAGTGCAGAGGGTGATCGTTGTTCCTTTAGCGGTGGAATTGACGGACCAGGCCATCCCAGTCACGTTCCACACTTATCCTCGAGCGCACCACCGCCATGGCTGGATTCCTCAGATGTGCACGTGGAGCGTGGGGAACTTGGATGACGCGGCGTTGGGATTTGTTGCCCGTGAAGGCCCGCGTGTTTTGTGTGTGCAGGAGGTGTGACGGCCGCCTCCGGCAATTTGCACGTTCCCTCACGGCGCGGCCTTTGATTTACTTGGCAAACACCATTTCACAGGCAAGGGATATCGTCGCGGATTGGCCACGCTGGTACGAGGGATGCCCACACGAGCACGTTGGTCATTTTAAGAACTTTCATCCGGCCGTGCGGAATTCATGCACCACAGCAGATACGGAGCGGTGCGGTGTTGGCACAGAGAGTACGGTATACACCGAGACTTCTTCCACGGCGGCGTGCGTGTATGCACCTTTTTGCTGAACCGTGGAAGCACGCGAGCACATGTCGACGGTTCTGGATCACCTGGTGACTCGCATTGTGGACGTGTCCAGGAACGGAGCTTGTGATGCATAAGCCAAGAAGGCGTCCGACCTCGCACAGCTCACAGACACATGGAGCACCGGCATGGTCGCATTGGCCGAGAGTATTATTCGTGCCCAGCGACACAAGCCCGAACCTCGCCGCACCACCGTGACAGACGACTGGGAAGCCACGCACACGGACTCCACCTCACTAATGGGAAGAGGCCGTACTGGCCCGCTTTCGCAGCGGGGTTTCGCACAAATACGGATGGCTGCTGCGGCCACTGCAACTCGCCATCCCGAGCACATGCCGTCGCTGCGTCCCGGATGCCCCACCGCAGGCACGCAAAGAACTTCGCACGGAAACTTCTTAGCCTCCCGGTGGACCCTACCCCGCCACGAACCAACGCCCCAGCATACCGCCCGATGTGCGGCAAGCACTGCAGCTGCCGCGTGAGTGTCGTGATGCACGGGTTCAACTCCCGTGGCGTTGCGCGCTCCCTGGCGCTGTGGAAAGTCAATTTTCCCAGTGAACCGGAATAGCCACCCACCAGTTTATCGAGGACGAGAGCGAGCGATGGCACACCGATCGCACCTCCGCCACAGACAGCACAGTCCAGGCCGAGGCCACTCCCATGCAGTCTCTGCACGGCGTCGTACGACCCACGTGACGGGCTCATTTTTTATCTCCGGCACTTTTAGAGTTAATGCTGCCTCCTGAAAAGTAGGAAGCGTCTCCTGGAAAACGACGATTGGACTGCATCCCCCTGTTCGAATGCGCTTACAGTGAATTTAAGGGTCAAACGAAGGCGAGGCTAATGCCCCATTTACGCACACGAACGCTCTGTTCCAGAGCCACAGCCGGCACAAGGACCCCGACTGTAAGAAGGTCACGACGCCAAAAATAGAGATTGGATACCCGTGCGCGCCAGAAGGGTTGGGCCACAAGAGGAAGAATAGCAAACCCACACAGAGACTCCGTCCCCGAAGGAGTCTTTGGCCTCTGCGAGGAAGGAGAATGCCAGCAAGGAAGAGTGTACTGTTTGCCTAACGTGGCACGCAACCGTCCAATCATTAACGTCACACCGTTGCCGAGTCCATGACGGCAGAGGGTCAGGCCGCCGAGGAGGCGCACGTCGCCCGGCGACGACAGCTCTATGGGATCACCACCGGCTGGATTTCAACGTCCAACACGCGGTTTTCAGTGCCACAACAATGATGGACGGACTCGCCACCGCACGGCATGCCACTGGTAGCGACCGAACATTGTGGAACCCAGCCGACGTGGGCAGCGCGAAGAGACAAGCATGCACCTACTCCGTTGCTCGGCTTTTCCGGCAATTAGAAAAAACAACAACCATGGTGTGGACGCAGGGGGAGTGGGGAGTGTGTGCCTCACGAAAAGGCTGACATAGTTTCTTCTTTTCGAGGTGGAAATGCTCTGCCCCCAACAGTACCTTCGCGCGGCAAGAAGGCACATGGCTTTTCGCATATGCGGCACAACTTCGATGCTGCTGGAAGGCGCACTCCATCTTTGTTATTTATAGATCAGTTTTTTTGTTGATTTATTGACGTGTTGTTTTACCGATTTCCGGCAACAGTGAATTATTTAGCCAACGCGCCAGCGCGGGGAGGATGCCTAACGGGTATGTGTTGCACGCCCTCCGCTGCAGCTCCCTCTCCGGGTGTCGGGGCTT